TCTAAGCATATTAAAGCTGTGGTTAACATTGGTGGGCCATTTCTGGGTGTTCCAAAAGCTATCGCCCTGCTTTTCTCTGCTGAAGCAAAGGATATTGCAGTTGCCAGGTACTTAGCAAGTATACCTTCTCAGAAGCAAATAGTTGTAGCAATTTGACAGGTAGCTTATGATGGTTTGTCCAGGATCGCACTATATCTTTTCAGAACAATAACTTTGGAGTTTGGACTGTGTGGAGAAAATGTGAAAGGTTTCATCAATTACTATTTTGGTTCCTTCCAATAGGTTGTGACAACGCATATGGACCATCATGCTTGTTAGATGTTGAATTTAAATATGCCTAAAAACAACCAAGGATCCCATTTGCTTGTCACTGTCATATCATTAGTCTCTTGTCTACTTTTATGCCTCGTTTTCTGTTGACAAACCTCCTACTCGTCTTGTGGAGCATTCTTCTTTGATTTATAGCCCTTTTTTTTTTTACAACTGTTTAATTGCTTTATGGGTTTATTGGTCTTCTTCCTTATTAACCCCTTCTTTTTCCTATCTCTTTTCACTTATTGATGATGGTCACTTTTGAAGTGAGAGATTGCTTTCTTTGACTGATTGATTGTTCAAGATGTTGATTGATTGCAGTTGTAGTCTTGTAGAGTGGAAATTCTAGTATTTTCTGCCGGCTGTTTATCACTAGTCTATGTCTAAACTAAATGACATGATGTTGTACGGCAGATTATGTGAGAAGAACATCCGCATGCAACAGTACATGGCTACTCTCTTCTGATTTCTGTCCTCCACCCTTTGGATGGAAATTCTAGTGATTCATTATAGTTTTCTTTCATATTGTTTTCAGTTTTTCTTGTCAAGGAACTTCCTAAACTTTTGCTGAACTTTAGGTAGGCAATTGGTCAGTACTTAAGTTACTTGTTAGTCGATTATCTCAATTATATCTGAAGTACAAAAATGTAAAATTTTCTCTCTTACAACAGCACTAAAAATGAACCGAAATGCAGGGCAATTGCACCTGGTTTTTTGGATAATGATATATTTCAACTTCAAACATTGCAACATGTGATGAGGATGAGCCGCAGTTGGGATTCAACCATGTCGATGATTCCAAGAGGTGGGGACACAATATGGGGTGGTCTAGACTGGTCACCAGAGGAAGGCTATTCTAGTGGCAAAAAAAGAGAAAGGAAGAATGGCACCCAGATCACAGAACAAGCTGGCGCTGGAAGTGCAATTTCTCAAACAAGAAGAGCAAATTATGGAAGGATGATATCCTTTGGAAAAGATATTGCTGAGGCACCTCCATCTGATGTTGAGAGAATAGACTTCAGGGTAATTTATTTTCTTGGGTAGTCTAGTTGGGTCCCCTGTTAGCTTATTGCCAGAAAAGGAACTTCAGATAGCAAAAAAGGAAACGAAAAAGAAGAGAGTGTGGCCACAGATTGTATTTTGGTCAACAAAGTTCTAGTGATGGATAATTTTTGGAGAACAAGCACTACTTGCCCTGAATTATAGTAACTGTGGACAAATGCTTCTAGTTTAAGTGAAAGTTACTGATGATGGATGGTTAACATCAAGATACTTATTGCTTGATATGATTGGTATATTTATAAAGGAATCAACTAAAATTATGGCTTCAAAATCAGATAGAAATGTTAAAATACTAACTTATATCACAAAATTCTTTGAAACCCATGTCTAAGTGTAGCCAGAGGTCATGCTCATAATTCTACTGTCTATGAAAAAGAGTAGAAATGTTCACCATATTGTGCTGTGTGACTACTTTATTTTACTAGAAGTCATTGCCTTATCTTTTTAGCTTTGCAATGTTCAGGGTGCTGTCAAGGGTCGTAGTGCTGCAAACACAACATGTAGAGATGTGTGGACTGAGTACCATGGCATGGGATTTAGAGGTGTCAAAGCTGTTGCAGAGTATAAAACTTACACTGCTGAATCAATTGTTGACCTTCTTCATTTTGTTGCTCCAAAAATGATGGCGCGTGGTATTGCTCATTTCTCCTATGGAATTGCTGATAATTTGGATGACCCTAAGTATAAACACTACAAGTATTGGTCAAATCCCTTGGAAACAACGTGAGAATCCTATAACTTCATTATTTCATTTTGTTCTTGTTGCATGGTATTCGATTTTCTTTTTCCCCTTGAATCAATTTGTGTTGCTTTATATCTCCTTTTGCTTGTTTATCTTTAAACTGAATCTCTGGCCAATATCAGAAACTGATAGAAAGCTTAAAGCATCGTGATAGGGTGCCTCATTCAACATTATCTATTGTTTTATTGAATGCTATTTTCTTAAATTTCCTTTCTATTTGGGGCATATGACTGTGATTGATTCTGTTAATGCGTATTGCGATATGGAGGTATATACTCTTTTGATGTTTAAACGTTCGTTCATCATCACTATTCACTGTCACTCTGATTTTGTAGGTTGCCAAATGCTCCTGCGATGGAAATCTTTTCTTTATACGGAGCTGGCCTACCAACTGAAAGAGCATACGTCTACAAGTTATCTCCTGCTGCTGAGTGTTATATTCCTTTTCAGATTGATACGTCTGCTGATCATGAAGGTACCTGCCTGAAGGATGGCGTGTATTCTGCGGATGGAGATGAGACAGTACCAGTTCTAAGTGCAGGTTTTATGTGTGCCAAAGGTTGGCGGGGTAAAACCAGATTCAATCCTTCTGGAATTCGAACATATATTAGGGAATACAGTCATTCCCCTCCAGCCAACATATTGGAGGGACGAGGCACCCTTAGTGGTGCTCATGTTGATATAATGGGAAATTTTGTAATTGATTGAGGATGTTATAAGGGTTGCAGCTGGGGCTTCAGGAGAAGAATTGGGAGGGGATCAAGTTTATTCTAATATCTTTAAATGGTCTGATAAGATCAACCTGCAATTATAACCTGCATTAGTAAGTGGTGCATACTCTCCTGCCTTTTTTTTTCAACTTCCGTCATTGTTCTAAGTTTCAACTGGTCTGGTCATTAATTTTACCTATGCATCGATTCTTTTACTATCCTGCATCTTTCCATTTAAATTTACAACCATGATATTCTGTGTCTGGTAATTTGTTCTTATCATTTGTTCTATTACAGCATTCTTTTTCAGCTCTAAACCAACACAAATCATTCTTCATTTATATTCAAATTCAATGAGAACAATCATGGAGTTGAGAACCTCTGTAATCAATAGAACATGCAGGCTTCATATTCCAGCATGCAGTTAACCATCGTAGTCTCTAGTTACAAACTTTCTCTCTCTCTCTCTGTGCTTGTTTTTATTTTCTGAACTTTTTTCTATTGCAAATTACAAACTCTACTGCTTGCTTTTTCTGAACTTTATTGGTTAACCATGAAATCTATTGATCCCTAAAGATATAAACACCCAAATGTGTCATCATATCTTTTTCCCACATTTTTGGAAAAAAAAAATGGAATCTCAGCGACAAATGCCCTTTATGATTTGTCAAAGCATTTAGCACACAAGAGAGCCTGTGTGAAAGAAGTGTTCTTACCCCATTGGAGCTGTGGGTTCTGAGTCTACTTGCCTCAACAGTTCACCATTAAACAAGATTCTGTTTCCATGCCTACTATAAAAGTACTTATATAAACTACTTTTTGACAAAAGTAGCGGAGGAATATGGGAGACTGTTCATAGATTTGGATTGTTGGACAGTGATGCCAAAAATTTTAAAAGAAATTATTGTAAAATTTGAAATAGAATGGGTGGCTCACAGCTTTTTTTTTTTTTTTTAAATGGACTATCTATAATGTAATCTCATTGTAAATGAGAAAATGGTTATGTAATTTATTCATAAAAGGTTAAATTTTATCAAAATTTATTTTTTATAATCTCAAATAAAAAATAAAAAGATTATGTCGTAGGCTTGAGTTTAAAGATTTGAATGATTTATTTAATTTTTTATTATAATTTTTGATAATTTCAAATATAAAAAAAGAAAATAAAAATTATATACGCTTATGATTTTGTTAATGATTCTCATTACGTTTAATTTGACAATAAATTTAAAGGGCTAAAAAACTCAAATCAAAACTAAAAAAAATTGAAGAAAAGCTAAAAGAAAACTAAAAATAATTGAATATAAATATATTTTTTATACTCAATAGCCAATAGGAGTATAGGACCTACGTCGTTAACGTATACCCGGTTGGAGTGAATCTTTACCTCTTACCTCCTGTAAAATCTTTTCAATTCACAAAGTTCTCCACTATTTCCTTTTTTTTCACCCTCTTTCTCTTCAGAATCCAAATTAAAAGAAAAAAAAAAGCTCTCCTAAACTCTCTTTCACTCTCTTGATCACAATCGAGAGCCCTCCCTTTTCCTTCTCTCTTCGCTTCTATTACGGGCTTCGATCTCTCTCCTCCCCTTTATTTAAAACCCTCACTCGTTAACCCTAACTCACGGAGTCCAAATCCCCTCCCTCCCAACTCCGATAATCATCGCTTTTCTACCGAAATTAGCGATTAATTAAGCTTTTTAAGGTAAGGATCGCGTTTCGTCTCTCTTTTTTATTGCTCTCCAGTTTTATTTTATTTTCGTTTTTCTATTCCTTGTTGAAAAATCTGAATGAGAATGCATTTAGCTTTTCTATTTTTAGGGTTACTTGGCTGCTATTTTAGATTTTAATTTAGGGTTTTGGAGATGAAAATTTTGTATTCCAGTAATTTTTTTATTTGTAAATTCTACAGTTTTTTAACTCTGTAATTGATGCTTATGTCTTATTTGGATTTGCTTTGCTTTGCTTTGGTTTCTTGGTTGAAATATTTCAGACTTTTTGCTTAGATGTTTGCATTTGTTCTTTGAGTTTGAGGTTGCTATTAGCAAATTTGATGAATAAAGTCTGGTTTCTCTTTGATGCAGGTATATTTATCACGACTCTTAAGAAGTTTTTGGTGGGTGGCACGGATAAAAAAAAGGTAGCTATCTTGTTTCATTTTTAGTCAGCTGTTAAGTAGTTGAGGTTACAGAAATGACTAGTTTTTCTTTTAAGTGCTAAGGATGTGTTTGGTACACAAGATTATGATGGGATGGGATAAGATGATATTATGAATAGAATTAGATTAAATAATGTCATCCTTATCTTGTGCTTGATGTGTGCAAGGATTAAGATAGGATAATTTATTTATTGGTCTAAATTATCCTTTCTCAAAGTTTATACAATTTAAATTATTGATGTAATTTTTAAGGGTATATTAGGACATATAAGTTCTACCCCATCCATTAAAAATATTCCTCTCCACTTTGGGAGGATTAAATCATCCTATACTAAGAGGATGATTAATACTCCTTGTAATCCTATCTCTTTCTTTGGATAGACACCAAACATAATATAGGATGGTTATCATTCTCTCCTATCAATCATCCTATGCGCTAAACATGACCTAAAAGACTTGATTGGAATTATTTTCTATAGAAATTTAGTTGTGTATATTGAAGCTGGTATAGCTATAGTAGTTGTAATAATTTTTTTAGATGTAACATTCCAAATATTATCTTTGGTTCAACTTGCTGTCATACATGCATGCATTTTAGGAAGATATATTTCTAGTATATTTGCTAATGGCAATGCAATCTGTTAACTTCTAACTAAAGAGTGGCAACTAGTTTCTACATTTAGGGTGCCTGATCCCTAGTTTTGCTATCTTAACGATCAGCTGCTTAGGGAAAATGCATCTTCTGCCAGACCAAAGATTTTTTTAAATTTTGAACTACAATAATTTTGGGCACTTTTGCAATCATTTCAAACATTAGTCCAACTATTGTTAAGAAGTATGGTCTGATATCATGCACAAGTTGATTAGGCCCTGCTGTTTTTGTGAAATTTTGCTGGTATCATTTGTGCTATATTCGCAGCCAATATATTTTTATTCTTCTACCATCTCTTGCTCAATGCAGTTTGCTTTACTTTATACCAACCTTGATTTCTCTCGATTGCTGTTGTCATTGCCATATGAATATCCTTCTAGCAATGTAAATCCCTTTTTAGGTTAGAAAATAAGGAATTTCTTCTTTTCCAACTGTTTTCATTCTTGATATGGGAGCTTTGGTGTCTCCAACTATTGGGGCTAACTTGTAGGGTGAGATCTGTATATGTATTGCTGGTAACTTCTTTAAGGAGATCAGGATCTAACTATTATGCATGCTGAATAGATGATGAGATTGCTACATATATAACAAGCAGATTAGATGGTTCATTTAATTGCTGTTAATCCAAGAGGTTTAAGTAACATTTCTAGGTGGAAAGTTTTGGATTAACAATACGAGGATAGGTTATATTTGGTGTATTGTTAAAGCTTGGTTGAGTGCTGGTCCGAACGATAAAAGTTTTAAGATAAGTGAGATTGAAAGAGAGCCAGAAATTTTAGCATTGGTGTTGCTGCTCAGGAAAGGCACCTTGCTTTTGCATTTTGTTAATGCAAACACATGTATGTATTGATATCATGGAACAATGACAAGATAGAGGAGGTATGCTCTTTTATTGGTGTAATTTTAGGTTTGATGGTTTACTGGTTTCTAAAGTCACCTAAGTATTCTGAAAATTTTGGCTTTGAAAAATTAAGTTCTAATGTTTTAGAATTGGACCTTGAAAGTGTTGACTTTATACTGTAAAAACTTATTCTTTAGTTTTTTTTTCCCTTGGAAGATGAATATGCAACAAGTTGTGTTGTCAAAATCTTCTGCTAATGGATTTGGCCGTCGAAGAGGTGATAGAGAGGTTGGGGCTAGGTTGGAGAATAAGGTGCTTTTGGGAAAATCCAATCAAGGAAGAATTCAAACTACAGGTGGGCATTCTCTTACCTGAATTACTTATTATTGAATTATATTCCTTATCTAAAACTAAGTGATATAGGTTCACTGGCTGGTGGGAAGACTGGAGGTTATGAGAGTTCTTCCCGCGATCGGTTAGTTTATCTGACAACATGTCTTATTGGGCACCCGGTTGAGGTCCATGTGAAAAGTGGATCAATTTACACTGGAATATTTCATGCAACTGATGCAGAAAATGATTTTGGTATGGTCTTTCATTTTTTTTTATGCTAATTATGCATCTGTAATTAGTTTTACAGATTGAGCTTGGTTCCCTTAGGATTCTTTTGCAAATAATTGAACATTGAAATAAAATGATTCTTCTTCTTAACATCCGCTCCCTTGCCTTTCTAGGAATCATCTTGAAAATGGCTCGCTTGATAAAAGATGGCACTTTGCGAGGACACAAGGCTATCACAGAGTTTGTTAGCAAGGCGCCCTCAAAGATGTTAATTATACCTGCCAAAGAATTTGTGCAAGTTATAGCAAAGGTTTTACTGATTTTCCAATCTTTACAGTTCCATCCCTAATTGAGTTGCTGATGAGAGATAAAATGTCAATTAGTTTATGCGGGGATTTCAAAAGATTCAAAGAGTTCGTTTCTGTTAGATAATTGTGAATGGTACTTGAAAAGTTAAAACTTGTTTAACACAAAATGTGGCTAATTTTATCTCATGTTTCCTCAATATTAATTTAGTTGTACAAAAAATGATTCCAGGATGTGGCTGTAACCAGGGATGGATTTGCAAGTGAGCTTCAACTTGAAAAACATCAGGAAATTTTGATAGACTCTGTGATATCACAATCCCGTCATTTTGAGGTGGAGAGGGAATTGGAGCCCTGGGTTCCTGATGAAGATGATCCACGGTGTCCTGAACTAGAAAATATTTTTGATGGCACGTGGAATAGGTTGCAATAATGTTCTCTCCTTTCAAAAATATGCCTTGCAATAGTTTTATTGTTCCAACATCTTAATTACTTCAGCCCACTTGCATCTAAATTGTTTTTTTCATTTCTACTGTGATCTCTATTTCTATATATCAGATTTGATTCCTTTGCTTTTAATTGTCTTGCCTTGCTACTTCCCATCAATAAATTGCCTGGAAAAAAAAAAGATGTTTGTGATAGTACTAGGGGCAATGTTCTTTAATGTCTTTTATATTGAGAAAATCAAGGATATCAACAAAAACATGATTTCTAAATTGATATTTATTTCTGCTGGATTAGTTTGATATGGAGGTGCTGTTTGATAGTTTGTGTTTGTTATGTTAATCTAGTGTGTGAAGAAATTTTAAATATATATTTGTTGTCCTTGATGGGCTGATTGTTGCAATAATTAGGCAGAGTTTGATTTTGTTGCCTATGGTAGATATAAAGGTTTGTGAGCTAAAAAGAAAAGAGACCATTAGCATTTTGTTGAAATCTTGTTGCAAATCTTTGTATTTTGATGATCATTAGTGTTTCTTTTTATTTTTTCTCTTAATATCTGTAACAATTCCTCTTTGTCATATTAACATTGTGTGTGTGTGTGTATATATATATATGTAAATTGCACTTTTAGGAACTGGGATCAGTTTGAAACCAATCAAAAGCTATTTGGTGTAAAAAGTACTTTCAATGAGGAACTTTACACAACAAAACTTGAGAGAGGTCCTCAAACAGGAGAGTTGGAAAAGGAAGCAACGAGAATAGCTAGAGAGATTGAGGGTGAGGAGACCGGGGACCTTCATTTAGCAGAGGTAAGATTTTCCCAATATCATTTGTTTGCCTCTTAACTTTTTTTTTTCTTTGTTAATTTATCTCTCAAATTTTCTTATGCTTTGCATATTGAATTTCTGACAGGAGAGAGGCTTTGATCTTCATGATAATTTGGATATTGATGAGGAGATGAGATTTTCCTCTGTCTACAGGGGTAGAGGGGCTGATGATAGTGGTTATGAGGAAGAGGAGGACATTATGTTGGATTCTCACAACATTGAGACCTTTGGAGATTCTTCTGATTCTCTCAGTAGAAAGTCTGTAGATTTCACCTGTTCACAAAGCAGTGATGGAGTTCGAATGCCATCTAGTTCTTCTTTAGTGGTACTTGTTGACCTCTGGAATTTGAGATATTCTAGTTCTTTCTTTTTTGATGCAAATAGATATTGTAATTAGTTGTATCTAAACCATTTTTAGGTTCTTTATTTTTTTTTCTGAAAAAATAAGTCAGGCAACTTATGATCGAGATTATACACCCAAGATAACAATTTGACCTTGGCTTATTTGGTCTCTAGGAGATTATTAAATTCTAATGGATGACACATTGGAAAGTAAATTCTTACTCAAATGACTTATATATTAAGTTTGGGGGCTTCAAAAGTTATAAAAAGTATATTTTATGTAAGCATAAGGTCTTGCTTTATGAGCTGGAATTTTGATGTCTTCTTTGAAGGAGTATTGCACAGAATCGCATTTCTTTCTGTTATTACAAATATTATGACATGTTGAGAGTAGTTATGTTGAGAGACATCAGAATGAGTAGTTGTTTGTACCATGGTACCAAAGATTTGTGATCAGGTTCCACTTTCTGTGTGAAAATGTTTTCTTTTCCTTATAAAGGAAAATTTTGGGTGGAAAAGGGTTGCTTAAATAGGGTTTGTGCACTGCCAGTACACCAAAAGAGGGAAAATAAAATAACAAGGTTAGTACCATAATTACTTTTGATTTTCTTGGTGAAGAAAATTAGCTATTGGACCTTATGGTGGGCAATACACCTTCGTAGTGGTTCTTTACTCAAATATTGATCTAGACAGATTTTCATTTGATGATAAATTGGTTTAGGAGGTGGATTAGTTGGGGGCCACTTACAATAAGGAATGCTTATTGAAGTTGATCATACGTGACATTACTTGAGAAGGATCACATGCATTACATACCGCTATTCTTTATTCTTTCAATTGTTACTTTGACAAAGTGAATCTTACTTTGCTTGTTAACAACTGGGGAGATTGAGTATGCAGTGTGTTGCAAAAATGTTTATGGAATTTGAATGAAGGAGCTGATAATTTGACTAGGAGTTGAGAGCTTAAGGACTTTAGTTTGGTTGTTTAAAGCAACAATGTATGTGTCAGGCATGTAGGGAGAGCACCTCTTGGAACTACATTTTGAGATGGAATAGCATATTGTATATTCAAGCTTCTGATTATGGAGTTGGTTACTTGAATTTCCTATACTTTTGCTCAAGTTTGTTTAATCTTGTATGGTGGATCTTGTGGCTAAATATTTTTTTGTTTAATTTTGGGTACTTGCTTCAACAATGCCATTTTTATGAAAATTTTCTGTTCACAACATGTCTTTCATCATAGCCCTTCCCAAACATAATTTTCTCTAACTGCACTTTGATGCATATTTCAATTTAAATGCTGGAAATTAGTGAAGGAGTTTTCTCGATACACTGCTAAATAGTTATTTCATGTCAGGTAAAAAGTGCTATAAAAGATAGTTGTATTATCTAATGTGTTTGTTTGTGCACGCATTTACTCCTTTGTGTGATCCTTTCCCTGTATAACATACTCCTGTATTTTGGTTTGTAGGATGAGGTACCATCTTTCCAAGCAGCCATTGGTGCGGATGCGAACGACTCTGGCTTTAATGATCAGGCCAGACAGCCGGCATGTGAACTTCCTTCTAAAAGTTTCTCCGTCTCTGACAGTGGTGCAAGCAGGTGTTTTATCTTTTTCCTTTGGGCATGCCAACATGACGTATATTTTATATTTTGATTCCTTGTTTCTGTCAGTTTATGGCATATAAGGTCAGTTACCTGGAATAATATAGGTGTTAGCTCTTTATATTTCCTGATTTAAACACTTGTAATTTAGGATCGAAGACAATTTGCTTGCTGAACATGGAGGAAGCAGTGATGCTAACGAGTTTGCAGAAAAGCAGTCTGTAAGTTTAATGTCCATAGATAAGCAAATGTTGTACAATGATAGTGGAGCTCCTTATTCTGTTGCTTTAACATTCATATCTCCGTTGGAGCTCCTTGTTCTAGTGCTTCTAGTTCCAGTTTGTTTGCTTCTAACATGTTTTTTTTTTTTTTTTGGGAATTCCTGTTCATATTAATGCAGCCACCTGAGAACCTGCAATTGTCAAATTCTGTCGGTGAGTATGCTTTACTATCTAGGTGCCTGCTTAGTGTTCTATAAAATTGAAACTGCAATTGTCTTTTTTGTTATTTTACACCCTATTAAAATGCACTAAATCTTGCTGCTGCTGCATCTGGTTATTTTAATATGAGAGCAATTTGTAATGCAGAGTCTCAGTCATTATTGAATGACAAGATTGATGGGTCTGATAAAGCTGGGCCATCTGCAAATCATACTACTCAGGCACCATCTAATTCTTTGTCAAAGGTTAGTGAAAAACCAAGTTCTTCTGGTGAACTCTCAGAGGGTCCAGCCTCTAGCAATGTAACTGGTAAAAAATATTCTGTAAACTCCCGTGGACGACCTGGTAGTTCTACATCATCAAATTCAGATCGTGTTGGTTCTGTCTCAGCATCTAGTGGCCCTGGCTTATCACCAAGTTCATCAATGGGTTCATTATCCTCTGAGAAGTCAACACTGAATCCCCATGCAAAGGTGTGCTATCTTTCTTTCTTTTACCTTTCAGGTGCCTGATAAGCTGACTCCCAACACATACTGAGTTATAAACTATGAAGAGTCTTAACTTTTCTTTTGTATTACCTTATAACTTGATTTGTTGCCTTCCTTTGGTTGTCTTTTCACACATGGAACATGTTTAATGCTATCAGGAATTCAAACTCAACCCTAATGCAAAGAGTTTCACACCGTCTCAAATGCCTGTTAGGCCTCCATACTATCAAACACAAGTGCCTCCTTTACCACATACGCACATGCCTGTCAGTTTTGGGGTAAGTTGCTTAAAATTAATTGCTGGTACTCTGAGTTATGACTGGACCTCTGATCTCTGAGGGGATCTTTGGTACTGTTGCATTGACCTTTACTAGCACTTTTTTCCAGCATCATGATAACCTTTTCAAGGAAACAATAAACAATTTAGAAACATAGCATTTGTATTTTCCATGTTTCTTGTTATTACATATGTGTGGATTAATGCTTTAGGTGGGGTTAAGTTAGGTTGATTTGACTTAATATGGAAAAAGTATTACCCTGATTTGACCTCCATCTCAGATCAGGTGTAACCATGTAGGTGTGACCACTTTTTCCAAGTCAATAGGATGTCCACTAAAACCTGCAACTTTTTTTTACATAGATAATCTTGTATTCTGTAATTTTTAAGAGGATGCGACTTGATTCAGTATCATATATTTTAATAAACTTTGGTATATGGTCCTAGCTGTTAAGATTCATTTTCATTCTTACACCTGGTGCTTAATTTCATTGTAGATTTGTCCTTTTTTCTTTTCAATCCAAAATGTATTCTCGATAATCTACCTGTGTATTGTTATTGATAATCATGTGGTTTTTTGCTGGATTGGAACCTCCTTTCCTGGGCACCAGCCTGTTTTGTTCAATCCACAGGTGGCACCGATACAATCACCACAAGCATATTTTCATCCAAATGGACCTCAGGTGCAACCTTACATGAATTTGTTATTATCCTATTGACCCATCTTGATATGCTTATTTATTATTTATATTCTTCAAAATTGCAGTATGGGCAGCAGATGTTTCTTGGGCAACGGCAGGTGTACTACCAACCTGTAAGTGGTTCTGAAAATTCTCGAGTTTGTGTGGAATTGTTGGTTCATATATTTTTAGCTTCATGATGTCACTCTTTAAGCTAAGCATTTTTTGAACACACTCCTATTTACTACTTGTATGGTTGCAAATGATGCTTCCTGGAGAATTCTATTTTTAAGAACTTTTGTAGAACTTTCTTTAAACTTATTGCAAGATTTTATCTATTTCCTGAGAAAGAGAAATATTATGATTAACATTTTATACCAGTTTCTTCCTTTTAAGAAAATAATAAATAATAATAATAATAATATAATAATAATAATAATAATAATAAAAGCCTCTGTTTTTGGTGTTTCATTTGTTATCCAGAACATTCTACATCTTGGGATCCTGATAGAACTGAAACTGTCTTTTGCAGGAAATGCAATACAAAGGAAGGAATTATTAACCAGTTAGTTTGCTGACAGCATTCTTGGGAGCTTTTCTCTGCTCGCAAGAATAAACTTTTGAGAGACTGCTTGGATCAATTTTCACAAAAGAAAAGCCTAGCGGTTGAAGAAAGATCCTATAGGTCTTCATCACCCCCTTGTTCCAGGGAGATAAATTTATAACCCCTGTATGCTTATGTTAACTAACCTGTACTTTTCTGATTTTTTTTTTTTAAATATTGATAGTTTTGGATCAATTGTGGTTCTATATTATTTCACATTTATTTTTAATTTTCTGGTTGCTGTAGTCTGGGATCTATCTATGTGTGTCTGGTGGGTTAAGAATTAAGATAGTGGAAGAGATTGATGCTTATCAGTTACTATTATAACAAGTAATGGCCAAATGCCAAGTTCAAGGCTTTTTATCTTTCAATTTTACTATCAATAATCTTTAGACAAGTGGCATGCTAGGGATCATTTTGCTTTAATGGTCCTATTACTTGTGGCCCGACATCGTCGTCTGATCTTGTTTGTATGGGGCTTGGGAGGAATCAAACGTTTGGAGAGCATATTATAGTTTTATCAGCTTATTCTATTTGGGAACTCAAATTACTAACTTTTGTATCTATTATGTTGGTATTGCTCAATGCGCACAGAATATTTGTCCTCCAAAAACAGAAAACCTCCCCTAGCTTATGCACATATTTCAAAAACTGTGTTATTGATTTTTTTTTTTTTTAATTTATAAAGGAGGTGCGCAATTGAGGGACAAGGGAGTGGCTAAAGGAAAAGACAATTTTTAACAAGAGGCGAATCTTGACATGTCAGAAATTTGTAAATGGCTCATGGTAGTTGATTTTTAAATGGAATTCTAGCCATTGCCTGCAAATTGAGAGACGCATTAAATTCAAAGAACGTAAGACTGAATATTTATTACCATGATCTCAACATTAGCCCTACCTGTTAATGCGTAAGGTTTTTGAGCTAATACTCCAAAAACTTGTTAATTCATGGCACCAAACATTTATATATACATATATATATATATATATTTATATACAAAGATAATTGCCAACTCACATAGGAACTAGAAAGCCTTGTGGGATAAACCCATCTTAATTGTTTTGTTATTGTTAAGTCGTTCCTATCTAAAACAATGGCCGGTTCTTGGTTCTTTCAGTTATATATAATATATCAACCCAGAGTCAAGGCAATCCCTATCCTCAAACACACCATTTTTATAGGAAAATTAAAGTTTGGATAAACACAATTTTATCATATGCAGATACTAATAAATAAATATTGGCCAAAAAAATACTAATAATTAAATTACTATGGTCAATTTTTTTTTTGCAATTGAAGTTATTACAGGTCATGGTAGATGCCAAAATTACTCCACAACTAAAAGGAGTACATATTTGACTGACATTGCTAACTCAAAGCTTGAAATATTTTTCTAGATAGAGATTTTTTATTCGTACCAAACTTTTTAAATTTATATTTTTGATAAATAGAGTGATAGAAAATGCCTATAACAGTTTTATGGATGATGTAACATAAGAGTTTTATGGTTGATACAAAATGCATATAAGAGTTGGGATAAACACAATTTATCATATTCAAATTCTAATAAATAAATATTGGCCTTCAAATTTATCATAAAAATTGCATACAAGAGTTTTATGGATGATGCAACAATCTTGGTCAAACTTTCGTCTTTTCATACAATGCTAAAATTTAAGGCTTTTAAAAATTATGTAATATATTGGTAAAATATTAAATTTTACTAATGCCTATTGGTTATAATAGTAAATAACTCAATTTTTTTTAAAATAAGATCTCCCTTTAGAATCTTTGTGAATGAAAAAAACAAGTTTAGAAGAGATTACTCACTTATAAATTTTATTTGGCTTGATTTCGAATTAGTTAATATCCAAAGTAATCACTAAACACCGAAAGTTTTAAATTAAAAATAAATTTAATTTAATAATTAAATTTAATTTTTGATAAATTTAAATATAAAAATAAAATATTATGATTGAAATTTAAATCTATTCAAATTTCATTTACCTTTTGCGGCATAAAACAAGTCTAAAATTCTTATGGTTTTTTTACTTGAAAAAGAAACTTTCTCATGTTAAAAAAGGGGGCTAAAATCTATTATCGACATCCCATTTTTTGAAAAAGGGGTTCAATTTTTTAAGTAAAAAAAAATTATGCACTAATAAATTAATAAATATCGTAATATTAATATTATTTATTACACAAATTTAAAATAAAAAATTGAAATTCTCATAGGAATTAGGAGTCTTAGGAAGATTTGACCACTTGTTTCTGCTCTAAATTAAATGTTTTTTTTTTATTATATAGTTGACAAAAACTTGTGGCTTCTAAAGTGGACACCCTGCTTCTTTTGTAAGCACATAACAGATGAAATGAAAGTGGCAAAGGCCACTGATGTTTGTAGAAGCCTTTTGCTGATTCCTACTTTTAATTTTTTTTTACCTTTCTTTTTGTGGAAGATGATTGAAAGATTTAAAGGATTATATTTTAAGACTCTTTTTGATATTAACAATAATAAAAGATTAATATAATAATTTTTAATATTATTTGTAGAATTTTAAAATTTTCTTGAATAAAGTTTATAAAACAAATTTTTTTTTAAATTTAAAATTGACAGTATTCCAAAATGTAAATTTTTATGAAGAAGTAAAAAAATTGCACATTTGCATTTTAATATATTGTGATAAGTTGTATATTTATATTATATTTTGTATAAATATATAAATTATTATATTATAATTTGTAACTATATATGTTAAATAAAATAGTATTTTTTATTTTTATTAAAATTTTAAAATTTTTTATTTTTATATATTTTTAATGTTATTTTTGTATTATAGCATTTTATCTGTTTAAATTAACCTATATATTAAAAAAAAATTCAAGAAAAAGATTGGATAAAAAGATATATAAAGAGTAAGGGAAAGGGAAAAGGAAAGGAGAAGAGAACACGCGATGTGATAGCGCGTGAAAGCCAGTGCAGGTGAAAATTGACGGGGCGGCTGACGGTATTGAAGCGATTACCGCATAAAACTTTGTAAAGAGAAAAGGACGTCTGCAGCAGTTCTGCAAGAGGAATTTATTGCAAAATACAATTTACAACGCTTTAGCGCAACACGACAAAAAACCCAGCAAGATACAATACTAATGTAGCAAAAAAATTCAAAAAAATAATGAAACCATAACAAAAAAGACATTTTTTTTAGTAGCAAAGTGATGATGATGGTGGTGGTGAGGTAATGGAGGTGAGCTGAAAAGATCAAACCTTTTAGAAATGAGTTCTTAAGAAGATATATGTAACAACATCACCCAGACTGAATTCTTTATTGGTTTTGTTAACAGAAAAACAGCAAGATCCAAAAGAGAAAAGAGTGAGCTTGTGAGAGAGAAGAGAGAGCGAGAGAGAGGTTCTATTGGAAGAAGGAAGGAAAGGGAGAGACATGCACAAATCAAAGCTTGGAAGAACAATACCCACTTGTGTGATTTCTCTTTCATTTTATTAAATCCCAAATGTTTTTCTTATCTTCTTTCCCTTTCTATGTTTTTCTTGGCTTTTATTCTTCTGGGGTTCTTTTACTCTTCTGTTCTAATGCTTTCTTCCCTATTTATGTATCTTCTGCACAGATTATGTACTATTTTTTTTGTTTAATAAAATTTATTGGATTTAGTTTTCAAAGAAAGTTTTTGTTGTGTCTATAAGGTTATAGGCTTTGAATATGCTTGAATTTGGAGTCTGGGATGGTGGGTTGGAATTTGCATGTTTAGCTGATTAATGGGTTTCCTTTTTTGTTTTTGGTTCAACTTTCAGCTCTCTTTTTCTTTTTTTCTTTTTGTGGGTTTTGCATGCATGGAAAGACTTTTGAATTTGAGACTTTTGAATTTGAGATTATGTAGAATTTATTTCAGCGAGAATCCATTCAAATTTATCTGCCCTTGTGTTTTTATTCTTTTCCCCCCTTTTAGCACATCATTGTTTTAAATCTTTTTCGTGGGGTAAATGGTTGATAGTATTTGGTGTTCTAGTATCAAACAATTCGATGTTAATATAGGCATCTGCTACTTCTTTTTACTTATTTACAGGTTTTCAATAGTCTTCCTATCCTTCTCCCAGCACCCTCATTGGGAACAAATGCTTATGATTTGAAGTTCTTTCATTGCGACAAGTGAAAATGGAATGGTTTCTCATCATTTTCATAATTTTCATATATACTTTCCGAGCTGAGTGAACATTATCACATCAAAGCAAAATTCGTTAGAAATTTGTAGCATATTAATCAATTTGATAGCATGAGTGAATGCAACTTCAGATTATGAACTGCAATAGGGTGTGTGGAGCTCATAACAAATTTCTATTTATTTATATCATAATTCTTTCCTTGGAAGTAAGTTTCTCTTGTGTAATTTTTGATGGCTCTGTGAATCTGTAGGAGACTCTTAGCGAGCCTTCTTTTTCCACCACTTGATATTTATATTTAAATTTGGTAGTGTACCATGTTTGCTTAAGGTCAAGTTGCTTTCTATATTTGTTCCTTCTTGACTTTAGAAGTCTACTTATATCAGTTTATAAATTTTCCAATACCTGGTGAAAGAAGCCTTGCAATCATTTATTTCTATCTTTTCTAATTTAAATATCTAACTCTGTGACAATGTGTGGTTTGTTGCTAGGTCACTGATGTGTTAGTACGCTAAAAATAGCAGCAAGGATTTCTTCCTAACATTTTTAAAGATCCTTTTTGGGCTTTCCTTATAAGTCAGGACATTTTGGACAGTGTTTACAGTAATGCAAAACTTGCATAGAAAGGATTCTGCTGTAAGTTCTCATTCGATGTGCACATATGTTGTTCAGTGTTCATCTTGGGGAAACTCAACTGAATCTTATGTTCAGCAATCATCCATGTCTGAAAGTTTAAGCCTGAAGATGGGAGTTCTGCCTCAACACTTTCACAACACCAAGCAGCTAAGTTTTCAATTTCAAGACCAGGACTCATCATCAACTCAATCAACTGGTCAATCTTACCCTGAAGTGGCTAGTGCTGGAGAAAGCAATGTTTATGGGAAAAGTTTAATTTCGGCATCATCAGGTCCTTATAGTTGCCCAGTATTCCTATTTCTGATGTATCCCTAAGTGTGGGATAATAATTATCTGTGTATTTTTCCTTAATATATATTTTGAATTCTTCTTCGTAGCAAGTGTCTAAGATTTTATTTGTTACCAGGAACATCTTGTGCGTCTAAATCATATGCATCTTCTGATGGGCTTATTTCTCTTATATTCTGACTAAATTGCTTAAAACAGAAGAATGGAGTTGCAAATCTATATGCTAAAGGGACTGTTAGGTTTCATCTTGCTACCTGGCTGTGGATATTAATATATTGCTACAACTGTTCTTGCTACTAATTCTATGTTACATTAATGGGATTTTTTTTCTTTCTCTTGTCAACGACCAAGGGTATATCTAATTAGCTATTCTTTCACCTGATCAGGAGGTAATGAAACTCACGGGAAGCATGTTGGAGGTCATGCTAAATTAGCCTCCTCAATAGGAACTCAAGAATATGTCTTCCCTTCTTCACAAGTTGACTATAGAAAATCAATTGTAAGTTATTACTTATGCAGTTCGGCTGCTATGTAGATGCATCATAGTCTTATATATATCAATTTTCTTTTACTTCAGGCTCATTTTCCACTGCATTATTCTGAAACATTATCTGGAGGTGTGCTGGCTGCTGCCTATGGACCACAAGCTATGGTAAGAATTTTGTTGTGTTTATTAGGTTTCTTTGCATCATTGATGTTGTCTAATGGCAGGCACTTAAGTCTATCGGTTGATAGAAAAAGGGATGGTTGCTTTTAAAATCTTGTTTAACACACTAGGTGATTTCTTTAGGAGTTGTACCTTTCCTTATGGTTATCCTAATATAGTATTTTCCTTGAGAAATCTCATTAAAAAAGTGGTTGAAGGAACCTACACTTTTGAAACCAGATTAAAGGATCTAGTCCTTTAATTACTATAAATGCAACCTTGATGCTGTAGAAAACAAATTTGAAAGCAGAAGTCAGACTAAAGTTGTTGATTTTGATAAAATATAGATGCCAGAGATCATTATTTTAATCCATTAGCACCTTCCTGGCGTCATGCATTCTTTCTTTTATGTAGCACCTTCCTGGCGTCATGCATTCTTTCTTTTATGTAAAGAATGTACAAAAAATATTATGCTGGCCTTGTGGATTCTTTAATGTTCATTAAGCACATCCACAAAGTATTCTGCTTATTAGTTTCTGTCATTCTATTTCACTTTGCATCTTACTTTACTCTTATTCTTCTTTGCTTTTCTGATCAAATTGATTCTTTATGAGAGAAGCCTTTATTTATTCTCTTATCGTATGAAGTGGTTTTACCATATGAAGCATGAAAGATGCGAAAGTACTGGAGATATGAGATTTGTTCCTGTCAACTGTCTTTAAGTAGCCAAAAAACTTTAGAGGTTACTATATATATAATTTTATTTATTTTATTCTATGATTTCAGCTTGTTGATTCTGCACTAGTGGCTTTTGATGTAGATTCTGATTTTTGTGTTGCTAAATCATATGCCTTTGAAAATCTATTTAAGCCGCAGCCGTTGTTATGTATGACCAGACAAAAATGTGTCATCTTTATCCATTTGTGAGATATTTGTCATTGCATTGCCAGCAGATTGATCATCCTCATATGATGGCTATGGTTCCTGCTCGAGTTCCACTGCCTCTGCAGCTTACAGAAGATGAACCTATTTATGTTAATGCAAAGCAGTATCAGGCTATTCTCAGGCGAAGACAGTATCGTTCAAAGCTTGACGCTCAGAACAAACTCATCAAAGTTCGAAGGGTATGTCTCTTCAAGTTTTCCATTCGTGCTTCACGTGGCCCATGATGGTAGTCTGGTTATTTGCCTTACAATGATATTATCTGAGAAGTTCTTTTATAAATGTTTGCAGCCGTATCTGCACGAGTCTCGACATATTCACGCTTTAAAAAGAGCTAGAGGAAATGGTGGGCGATTTCTCAACACAAAGAAAGTCCAAGAATCCAAGTGTATTCCGACAAGCAATGGATTGGACATGTCCAGGTCTCCTCAGCTACATTTGTCTGCGAACATCTCCAAATCAGAAGTTCATCAGCTGCAAAATTACAAAGATGCTGCTTCCGCCACTTCTTGCTCTGATGTCACAACTGCTTCCAACAGTGACGAAATGTTTCAGCAGCCAGATTTGAGGTTCTCTGGCTATCCTTTCAACTTTAGTGGAGGCATGCCAGGTCATACTGATGATATACATGGTGGTGGTGGTGGTGGCAACCTCCATCATCTTTCTGGTCTTTGCTGATAGATGAGTTAACAAATTCTCGTCTAAGCAGTCCGTATTTGGTGCTTCAATGAAAAATTCGGCTGCTTTGTCCCCATGGGAAGTCATCCTTGGCTCTGTTTAGTTTACTTCGCCTGTCATCACAAACTGTTTCAAACCATGGACATGGAGTTATTTCTAGCCGGAACTTGTAACTTGCAATATTTTACTGTTTATTTTTTGGGTTAAGAGTTTTGGTGATTGGTGACATTATTCAACATCAATGCCTGGCATTGGCATATACATATTTCTTTTTTTTTTTTGGTTTCAAAGGGGACAGAGTCCTACTAGTTGAGGGGGAAACGTTGGAGTCGAATCCCATCTGACGTCTTCTTAAGGCTTTGTTGGCCGGGTGAAGAAGTTGAAGACTATACATATTTCAATTTCCATATACTAACTCTGCATGCTTTATGAAATTTGAATAGCTCAAATTTGCATTAGCTGAATGTTTCCTATTATAGGACTAGAATTTCTAGTCAGTAACAGTCATTTTGACAAACAAGTTGACATCATTTATTTTGCAATTGACGTTTTTACTAACTTATGAATTATGGGTCCTGCCCAAGAACACAAGAAACCAGACGATGACTTTGTTGTTATCCAACCTACACGTCACCACTCGTAAACAACAACTGACCGCACCGAATCTTTCCTCTTCGTCGTTTTGGATAGTCGGACTCAACACCCTCCTCTCCAATATAGTTAACCCGACCAACAAACCCAGATTCAAATCCGCTCCAAACTTGAAACGCACCTACCCGTTAAGTCCACAACTCTATCCTCCTTTTCTCGACAACAACAAATCATTATTAAAAAAATGGTCTCATTTTGAGTTTGACTAATAGCAAAAGGAAGAAAGAAATTTCCTTCTTGTTCTTCTGTTTCTAAACAGGGAAAGAGAGAAATGGATGGAGGAGCTCAGTATAATCCTCGCACAGTGGAAGAGGTTTTTAGGGATTTCAAAGGCCGAAGAGCTGGCATGATCAAAGCGCTCACCACAGGTATCTGTTTGTTTCCCGAGAAAACTCAAAATAGAAATTGAAAGCTACTGTCTTTGTATTTAAGCTCGGTCTGAATTTTTGAAAATTTTAATTTTTAAGCTGATTGGAAAATAATAAGTAAATTTTGGTTTGGGTTTCACTCTTGCTGTATTTCTGTTTCCTGAAGAATGCGGTTTTGTTGGTTTCTCTCTCTCTCTTTTTTTTTTTTTTGATGTTTCCTTTCTTTTTATTGTTTTGCTTTGCTTTGTGTTTGGTTAGGGAGAAATTTTCCATTTTTGGGCTGGTTTTATTTTGGAAGTTTGATTTTTTTTCGCCCTTTAATCTTCAATTGTTTTAACATTTTTTTCCTATTATTGCCTGGCTTGTCTTTGTGATATTTTTGAAGTTTTATGAATGCAAATTGAAAGGAAAAGTAAGTTCATAATTATATATCTTTACTTTTTTTTTTTTTTTAGAATTTTTTCATCAAATTTATTACTTTTTTAATCAAATTTATTGCAATGTTTTACACTTTTAGTTTGGTTGACCTTAATGTGATTGCTGAGAAAGTATGGAGTCAAAGAAAATGATTAGTGCAAATTTAACTCAAATTTATTTAACTTTCATCATAATTTAGTTTGCATTTCATTGGGTTTTGAATTTTATGTTTTGCTCCAAATGACTTAATGATTAGTGTGAAAATGTAGAGGTGGAAAAAAATGTAAAATACAATGCAGTTTAAAGTTAATATTTAGTATGCACCCATTATAAAAAAAGTATGCATTTGGTTATATTTTAAGTTGGTATTTTATGCTGCGCATTGTCATTTTAATCTTCTTTTGCAATGTTGCTGAAACAAATTAGCAGAAAATAATGAATATTTTAAGTGTAAATTTAGTTTTTGTTGTTTCGCTTGTGTTAATGACATTCATAGAATTCTTACTTCCTTTTTTTTTTTTGGGTAATTGAACTGATGAACTTGTCTTCTATAGCTAATGTGAACTTCTGTTGTTTATAATAACGTTTTTTGTGATATATTTGTTTGCTTAATGGGTTTTGATTCTGTTCTGTTGTGTTGTAGATGTTGAAGAATTTTATCAGCAGTGTGATCCTGGTAAGGCTTGCTTCTTTTGTTTGTTTCATTGTTTTATATATGAATGCTTTGACAATAATTTATGAGGCACTAAATTATTTTCTTTTACTTTCTGACTGTAATGTGTATAGAGTTGGTCTCACTTTTTTTGTAATGTCTAAGTTTTGTATGCTGTTGTGGGTGTTCGATGATGATCTGTAATTCCCTTTTAAAGGAAAAGCAAAGGGAATGTGGTGCGCCTCTCAAGCTGTAAACTCCACATTGATGCTTTTTACTGTTTTTGATGGTTGTCTCAATGTGGTTCTAGGATTGATAGTACCTGCAGATGGTAGTCTTTAAAGCTTTTGTAGCTGTTACCTTTGGTTTAAGATACATGGAGTGCATAGGATGGTGCTAATATACTTGCTGTGGGCACCGGGCTCTTGGAAATTTGACCAAAAAGTTTATGCTGCTTTATTGAATTGCATCTTTAGTCTCCTCTCTACACTTCCTGTTTGGTTGCTTTGTTCACTATAGATATTAAAATATTGAATATAACCAACTCTGCTAGTATAGTCTATGTTGTTCTTTATCAATTACCATGATTGATTAAAATTTGAAGGCATGGTTTGGTGATTGTTTACTTTTGCTTGACGCATATGCACTTTTTACCTTTTGACTGTGCATTACTGCAAGAGAGTCTGAAATTCTCTGCATTAATGTATCCTTTCCCTTTCTATGCAGTTTGTATTTATATGTGCTTAATTTTGTTTGTGGCTGCTTCTTAATATTCAAGGCAGATTCTTGGAGAGCATACTCTCCAACTTTTTCACTTCATTTTACCTTTGCTATTGGAGCAATGTTTGTCTCCATACTTGCATGTGCATTTATTATTTATTATGATATGATTACGAGCCAATGACTTGCAGCTTTTTTTTTTTTAATTTCTGTGTATTTATGGAAAGGGTTGTTATTATTATAATTTTAAGTGGAGTAGGAAAGCTAGTTGTGCTTGAATGTGCAGTTGATCATAGATTGTAATGGACGTAGCGGTAGGTTCTTAATCAATCAAAAAGTGCATTAACTTTGGGGGCGACTTTACTACAGATCAACCTCTTAGTTTGGAGGCCTTGGCTCATTTTATCGATTTGTTTATGTTTGATAGCTAGGTTTGTAATCTTCTTTATTATCTAGTTGGTAGTGTTTGTGAGATTGTTGATTCTTATCCACCTAGCCTTTATGAGCTTTTTTCTTTTATTTGCAGAGAAGGAGAATCTGTGCTTGTATGGCTTCCCAAGTGAACAATGGGAAGTCAATTTACCTGCTGAGGAAGTCCCTCCAGAACTACCAGAACCTGCCTTGGGTATTAACTTTGCAAGGGATGGCATGCAAGAAAAGGACTGGTTATCTTTAGTTGCTGTCCATAGTGATGCATGGCTGCTTTCAGTTGCCTTCTATTTTGGTGCAAGATTTGGATTTGATAAAGCTGACAGGTTTGTCAACTCATGCCAAAATTTACTCTTCAGCATGTTCTTAGATCAAGCGGAAGCAAGTTATAAATGGCCTTTTTTAGTTTCAGTTGAAACTTGGGATGCTTTTACTTCTTGTTCGTGTAGGAATGCTTTTCTTATTTTTGGTCTTTGGAACTAGATAATTGGCCAATAGCTAGGTTTATCCCTCCTCTCTCTCTCTCTCACTACAAAATTGAGTTTGGTCTTCTGTTTGAGTGGAGATATGTCTGCATGACTTGAAATGTTTGACCCGTCAGGTGCAAGCCTTTAGTGCTTAGATATAGAGAAACAAATAATTATTTGTTCGTATGTAGCCTTTCCAGTTTGCTCATTATGTAATATTTTATGCATTTAAATGGACGCTTATGGGCTATTAGGCTATTAAGCTTGCTCACAAAGTTCATGCCAATGGCCTTCTGGTCTAATGGCACCTCCCTTCCTTGTAAAGTAACTTGGATCTGGAAGGCCTGGCTTCTGGCCTGCCCTGTAGGGTTTGGACAGGGTTGCCTCCTGTCTGAGCTTTGGACCTAGAAAGGTAAAACGAAAAAGAGTTTAGGTGGATTTGATTGAATTATGTCAGTCCACGAAAAGCATGTTCAGTTGTTGTTACATAAAGGATCAGATTGCAAGATGAAATTTATATGAAGTTTGATAAACTCAACCAGGAAATCTGTCATTTCCTCGGTTTTTATAGTATTCTGTTTATGCATCTGATTGTTAAATGTGAGGCTGGTATAATGTCTTTACTTTGATACAGGAAACGGATTTTCAACATGATTAATGATCTTCCAACAATATTTGAAGTTGTAACTGGTGCTGCCAAGAAACAAACAAAGGACAAGTCATTGGTTTCAAATCATAGCGGCATCAAATCAAAATTCAACTCCAAAGCGGTAAAAAAGGACTTTTTGTGCATAAATCATATTGTTTGGTATAGATAAATGTAATGAATATATATGTGGCAACTATCCATGATTGTGTTTAGTGTTGATTCGCTGTATTATCATTTATGATGTTGTAGTCAGAATAGTATTACCACGTGAATAGGAGCTTTCAGTACAATATACAGAAAGCAAGTTTCAGTCGAGTGACTTTGAATATCCAAGTAGTTATTATTTTTCCTGCTGTATTGTTAGTCAAGATTGGGCAGCTATGATTCCTTTCTTGTTTCAAAGATAAGACAACTAATTGAAGTTTACTTTTATGGTTTAAGCATTGTGGGAAAGCCTTTTATAGAAGTTGTCTGTTTTGCTATTTGATGTGTTCTGATCAGCGGGAATCTCAGGCAAAGTATTTGAAAGCATCACAGCCGAAGGATGAAGAGGACGGCTTGGACGAGGAAGATGACGAAGAGCATGGAGAGACCTTGTGTGGGGCTTGTGGTGAGAACTATGCAGCAGATGAGTTCTGGATTTGTTGTGATGTCTGCGAGAAGTGGTTCCATGGGAAGTGTGTGAAGATAACTCCAGCTAGAGCTGAGCACATTAAGCAGTACAAGTGTCCGTCATGCAGCAACAAGAGAGCTCGCCCTTGATATCATGAAAATGTGCCGTCTCTCGTCCTCTCCTGCCCCATTTGTACTTTACTCTCTGTGTACTCTGCTAACTGCACTGTTAATCAGTTTGTGTCTTTTGTACACTAGTGCAGCATGTGAATGATCACTTTGGTCTAGGAAATCTCAGTTTTCAATACTATTTATTTGTAGTTTAGTTTATGATAATTCCCTTGTGAAACAGTCGGAAATCCTTTTATTTGGTAGGGGAATTCTGTTATGTTTTATGATCTTAACTAGCTGAGCTAATGTCCGCTTCATGATCACATGAAACTGAAACTTCACAAGGCAAAGAAAACGTGAGAAACTTGCTATAGAAACAAATGCACAGTGCTTGTATTAAAGCAGACCAAATTATGAAATTTATTTGTCATTGTCAAACCTATGGTAAGGGGTTCCCCAGCATTTGGTCAAGAACTAAACATTGTGGTTTAAGATTGGCAGCATCATGGTCGACTCTAATAACTATTCAGTGCTTGATATTGGGCATTAAAATATTTTAATGAGAAATTTATTTTAATAAAGCATTTCCTGATCAATGTTGGCCGGGATGGACCTTCTTGCGCCCATTCTTCCGGGGCCGCGCTTAAATTCATCTTTGCCAGTTGCTACCTTTAAAGATTGAAGCGAAGACCTCAAAACTCCTTTCAAAAAAAAAAAAAAAAATGTTTAAAATTTTAGTAAAAATTATATTTAAATTAAAGAACAGAGTATTTTGTTTGAGATATAGACATAAATTATGATACAATAATTTTTATATTTTATATGTATTAAACACAAAAATAAAAGACACAAATATACGAAAAATAAAAACACAATTACGTGTTGCGCAATAATTTTTTATTTTTTAAATTATGTTTTAAATATAAAAGGAATATAATTTTTATGTCAAATTTTAATGGATGACAACATAAAAATAAATATAAGTGTATTTATTTTTTTAATATAAATTATAACTTAATTATATATAAATGTAATTTTTTATTAAATTAATATATTAAATATTATCTTTATTAATATAGTACATGTATAAATATAAATTAAATAAATAATAAAAAATATATATTTATATATCAAGTGGAGAGTTGGGGCAAAGAGCTTCAAAGTTGATTTCAACTTAACTCAAATTATTTAAAGAGGTAAAATTTAACATAAATTTTTTTATGAAAAAATTGCATTGATTGGATTGTGATGAATTGAAACTTGACCATCAGATATAGGTTGTTTTATAATCCTTATATCCATTGATTTTTTTCTTTTACAAAATTTATCTAATAAAATTAAATTTTTAAAAAATTAAAAATGACAACAAAGCTAAGTGAGATGGCATGTGAATTTATTAAATTAAAGTATCAAATAATATTTTTTAATAATATATAAATACAAAAATAAATAAATAATATATATATTTATATATACCTAGACTGAGGCATAATACTCAAAATCTTATTTTGACTCGAGATCGATTAAAAAAAACTCAATCCAATTATCCTAAATTAAAAGAAATGGTACTAATTAGATCGAGACGAATTGAAAACCATTAGATATGAGTTATTTTATTATCTATTTTAATTGACTTTTTTATTACAAAATTTATCTCATAAAAAGCAAAAATAAAAAGTTTAACAAAAAAGAAATAAAGGAAACTAAAAAAAATGCAAAAACTTTAAAAAACCAAAGAAAATGAAAAAAAAAGGGGGGTGTTACGTAAACATTCAAGACAAGATGAAACATCTTAAATTTATCTTCAACCCGATCACATTTAAAAGAAAATTTTGATCGTATCTTGATTTTTTTTAAAACACACTTATATTGGATTAGTGCAAATCAAAGCTAATCGAATATAAATTATTTCGTCATCCCTACTAACCAATCAAAACCAATTCATTGATTTTTTTATAAAATTTATCCAATAAAAAATTATAAAATAAATAAAAAACAAAAAATAAATTTAATAAAAAAAATTGGAGGAAGGGAAGGGTGCCACGTGAACACCCCACCTTCCTCATTCTCTACAAATTTAATATTATTGATTTGAATATCTAGCATAACAACAATGAAATAGATTGCTTAAACATGATATAAAGCTTCCAAAGATAACATGCTCGCTAGGTAATTCAACTTTTACATATAAACCAAGAAATTAATATATAAAATATAGACACTTAATTTTGTTTAGACATGTTTCGATCAATTGTGATATTTTAAAAATCGAGACTCGAGTCTTTTTTAGATTCTTTTAGGCTTTATGAAAGTTACATAACTTTTGAATAAGTTAAATTTTAAGTTAATACACAAAAAATAGCAAAAATCAAAGAAAAAGTTAAAAGTCAACCTAAAAGCCAACTTAGTTAAATCTACTCGAATTTGGCTGATTTTGGTCAAAATCGGGTTAAATCCAAGTCGTTTTGGGAGAATCAAACAAAGTTATTAGATTTTGAATATTTTAAAATAAATTTTGAGTTTTGAGCAAAAATATGCATTTCAACCAAAATGCCCTTAATATGGGCCTAGGTCAAAGTTGGTTAAAATTGATCAAATCTAATCAAGTTTTGTCAAACTCTAACATTTAGAAAGAAAATCCTAGAAAAAAAATGAATTTTGAACTAAAATGATCAAAATACCTCTTGGTCAAAATTTGCTAAACCTGGATTAACTCTTGATATCCATGATTGACTAAGACTATTAAGGCTTAATGTTAATAAAATTGTGATTTGGATCCTTAATAATCATGTTGGATCTTGAAAGGGTAGAGAAAGTACAAAAATGCCATTTAGGGACATTTTCATAATTTAGCCTTCTAGCGATCAATTTCTAAAAAAAAAATTTAGATCATGACTAGGTATAATTTTATGAATTTTGGTTCAATAAAATCATAAAATCATCATTAAATCATGAAACAAAAAAAAAGCATGAAAAAGGCTTTTAATTAATAATAAGGGCAAAAATGATCTTTTCATATTTTATGGCCAGGACAACTGTACTAATAGCCAAATTATGTACTGTAATTTTTTAAAGCTATTAGATTTAAAGATATAATGGTCCTATAGTGTGCATTGATATTCTTGAACACCAAGTTTAGTAGAAAAAGACAAAATTTACTACTCTTGGATGAGGTTTAATCCAATGGCCATCTTGATGAGAAAATGTCTTTAAGTAGACATTTTTAAGGGTGTGATGATGAGACAGCAAGGAGGGGCTAGCAGCACACACTAAAAAGAAGAGAGAAAAACATAAAAAATAAAAAAAAAGCTTAGAGAAGGAATAACCTTTTTTGTTTAGTTTGTTTGCTTTTTCTATGCATTCATTGTCATCATGCATAGAGCATTCATTTAGATATTTAAACATTTGTTTCTCCTCATTCCCACATGCCTATATAAAAAGAGAGCCATCTTTTAGAAAAGAAAAAAGCTTCACAAAATGGTGTTCTTGAAAGAGATTTCTTCTATGTTTTTGTTTAAATTTTTTTTGTACAATTACTTTTGTTTCATGCTGGTTTTTTTTTTTATCCATTTGAAGGTTGCCATTTCATGTTTTAGATGATATAATCTCGTTAGGTTCATTTGGTGGTCATTACAGTAGCTTTCCAATTATTTCTTATTAGAAATAAAGATACTTTTGGAGTTTTTTTGATGGAAATTTTCTTCCATTTGCTAGATAGAAGTGACGTTAAAAGCTTGAAAGAGCTGTTGCCAAGTTAGTTTTAGGGTACCATAAGTTGACCTCACCAGAGGCCTTACTCATGGGATAATATCCCTTCATTTCATCGATCAATCAGAATATCGCTCGACAATTGCACCTATTAGTGAGACCGACTTGGTAGGATTTGCAAGGTGAGGTTTGGATGATATGGTTATAGTTCTCTAATAGTTGTGGATATTAAAGACATTATGTATTATTTACCCTAAAGAGTGGCGACAAGTTTGCTATCAATTTGTTGCTAACTTTTGGTCCTTGAAGCTTGCAAATTGTGTTTTAATGTTGGCTTATAAGATAAGATAGTTTGAAAGAATTTTGAGTTGAGAAATCACTTTTTGTTGGCTTTTGAAAATTTGAATCTTGAAATTGTTTCATTTTTGTTATCTTATTTTAGTTATAAAAACTTTGCATTCCATTTCCTTTAAATTTTTGATTTTTAAATTCTCATGCATTTTAGCTTTCCTGTATTTAGTTTAAATAATGTGATTTACTTAAGTCCTTTATGGTGTTTGTTTTTACCATATACTTTTCATTAATTAGTTCTAGTTTTGTTTGTTTCTCATCCATCATTGGTGCAATCATGATTAATATTGTTTATGCATGATTACTATGTGTTTTTTTAATTCTTACTTGCTTCTTACATGCATACATTATACTTATTACATTAAAATAGAACTTTTAAGGAGAAAAATGGCATTATAAAAATGAACTAGCTTCAAAAATCTGCTTAGATATTGAGGATGATTGAGAAGGTTTGGGTGATCAACAATTTTCATTTTTCATATTAAATCTTAAGTCAAACCTTAAACCCTAAGTCAAATCTTAAAAACCAAAAGTCAAACCTGAAATCTTAAGCCACACCCTAAACCTATCCCAAGTCTAAAATTTTCTCAAAAACTTAAATTCTCCTGAAATCCTAAACTTACTTGAAACCCTAAACCTCTTCTAAACTCTAAAACCTCTTATGAAACCCTAATGCTAATCCTTGCAACCCTAACGCTTCGTTTAAAATTCAAAGGAATTATATGTTAAATCTTAAAGAAAATGATTTGTTCCAAAAAATTACCTAGATGATGAGCTATGCGGGAAATTTTATTTCATATAATTTTATGAGATTCTTAATAATAATAAAAAATGATTTTTTTAAACTACATACATACACTCCTCTTCCATGAAAATAAAATGAGTTCTTAGATGAAAAAAGTTGTTCCTAAATTTTACCTAGAGATTGGGAAAATTCAGATGGTCTCTTTACATTTAAAAAATTCTATTTCAAAATAAACAATGCCAAATTCATTGCATTAATCTTTCATCACTATACATGAATTTATTTACATATGTTTATCTATTTATTTTCAAATAATTGTTTGGATTTATCTCATCTTTATGTTTTTTTTTTATTTTATTATTACTGTTTATTTGTTACTAGTTGCATCACTATTTTTTGTTGCATGAAATGTTTTTTTTAAAAAAAAAATAAAAAAATGTTTTGTGAAATAAAATTCAAATAACATTATAAAAGAAATAGTTTTTAGTACTTTACCTAAATGTTGAAGAGTTATCAATAATTATCATTTATAAAAAATGTTATTTTCATTTTAAGGGATTATTATGATGAATCTTAAGCAAAAAGATTATCTTTAAATTTCGTCTAGATGATGGGGAGTTTTGAAGTAATTCTTTGACTTCAAGATTTTTATTTTATTTCTAAATCAAATTTTCTTTTTTACTTAATAAAATTGATTTCAAAAAATAAAAAGAATTATTATTATATATCAAGTTAAAACCATTTTTATCTAATATCGAAAGGATAACGCATGATTAATTAGTGTCACTTTAAAATAAGAGTTGTGAGGTAATAATTTTTTCTCATGTATAATCATACTCTTGAACTCTACTATATTTTCAAAGATCAAAATTGTCTTTTTGATAAATTTTAAATTAGTTTTAGGCTTTTATTAAAAAGATAAATTTTTTAGATGATCAATTACTCATAACAAAAAAGATTAGAGATGACTCTTTATTTTTATTTTAAAATTTTTCATCTTGCAATTGAATTTTTAGATTCACACGTTGCAATGTAAAAAATACCAAAAATGAAAAAAATATCCAATAGTTTTATCAAAAAGGACAAATTAACCAACTAATAGTGAATTATATACATTAGGAAGAAAAAGGAAAATTTAATAAATTTCTTAAAATTTATAAAAGCTCATTTTACTTGTTTAACTTAAAGCCATATAAATTAACATGAATTATATATCAAAGTTAAATAAGCTAAATTAATTTAATTATTTGATATAATAATTATCCATATTTTGCATTATGATTTTACATTAAAAATTATATATTATCATTTATTTTAATTATTAAAAAAAATAAAAATAAAATTATTTTAATAAAAATTTTATTTCAAATATCATGATATTGTTGTATTATAGCATTAAAAAAAATATTATATGAAAAATGGTATATTCACCACAATCCCTAAGGGTAAAAGGTTTATATGACAAATATATCAACATAATAATATTTGATACACTGAATACAATAATTGATGTATTGAATACAATAATATTTGATGTACTTTGAGTATACATTATTAATGTTTCACATGTCGTCATTTTATTAAAGAATAAAATTAAAATTTAAAAAATTTTAATATAATTAAATATTTAAAAATATTTATGTTTAAGCACTTTAAAATTTTAAATATAGTGCTATAATTTATAATACGTTGATAGTGTATACATCTATATATTAATAGTGTATGGATACTAAATATCATAATGAACATAGACTCACCTCCAACATAAACTTTGATTAGACATAGACTTCTAATCCAAAAAAACACAACATTAACCATAATAACATACGAGATAACTAGTGATTATTCAAATCTTTTTTTTTCCCCAAAATTATACTTCTCAACAGATGGGAGCTTGGTTCCTCAGTGGACGTGATAGCATTTTCCGTAAGAAGTGTTTTAACTTGGTCAAAAGACGGAACAGCCAAAAGAGAAGGCGGATGGTGGCAAACACAGCAACAATTCCAACCAAAGCAATCCAGATAATCTCTGTAACATCTAATGCCTCGGCAATTGTAGAAAAGATATGATCAGGGGTGACTACCACAATTGCACCTACGAGGGTAAGTAAAACGAACGTAATTGCAATGATCATAGCTATTGTCATAAGCCATGTGCAAAGCTTGTTCTTGAGAGGAAGCCCACTGATCGCTAGAAGGACAACACTCAGAGATGCAATGAAAGAGATAATCGCTACAATTGTGAGCACCAGGTAGTTTCCAGGAAAAACATAGGCCAGCACAGCGGTTCCAGCTACACATTTTCCATAATCCTTACTGCAATTGAACATACCAGCGGTTGTGTTTGTGTAATCTTGTTGCCAAACACCGCCAGGTGGGTTGGTTGCAACTTGGAAAGAAATGGTTGCAGTTAACGTCGCCACCAGCATCAGTGTCCCCTGCATCTCCTCCACCCAATCAGAACGATGTTTGAAGTAGCTTTTGCATTTTTGGTACACGGACTTTGTTTTCCCTTTCAGCCCGGAGGTGAACGACCTCGAATTCACTGTCTCCACTTGGATCTCCCTACCTACAGCAACTGGAACTAATTGTGATTGGATTGGAGTTGATCTACTTCCAGCTTTGATAAGAATTTCTCCAATTTCAAGGCTTTTGGAATCTCTTGGATAATGGTTTAACAAATCCAAGGCGCTCAAACCCATCCTGTTTAAGACATTTATCTTTGCTTTTATTTCAGGCACCGAAACCAAGAATGTTATGGTCTGCAGGAGCACAACTAGTAAATTAATTAATGAATTACAATATATTTTTTTTAACAAAATAGGCTACCATTCATTATAACCAAGGAATCAACACACAGAATTTCAAGTTAAATTTACCTCCAACTGCCTTAGCATGACAGCCAAATGCAATATGGTGTTGCCTCCATGGTCTGTATAATCGAGAAGTTGGTTCTCATCCACCAGTGTTACCAACTGCTTTAGAGCCTCTAACTGGTTAAATTGGACACAAAGGTGTAGAACAGTACTCCCATTCAGTTTTTGACGGATCGAGTCATGCTGTGCGTCGACCAATTCTTGTATGACCTCAACCTTTCCCCTCATTGCTGCTAAGTGGAGTGGAATTCTCCCCTCTTCATCAGCAACCAAGCAAACCTCTTTATTTGCTCCCAACAAAGCTTTTACAATCTCGGTATGGCCCTCGGCGGATGCAAGGTGAAGAGGTGAGCATTTGAAAGAGTCCAGTCGGGATGCAAGTTCAGGTTTTCGAGTCAAGAGATCTTTGGTAAAATCAAGATGGCCAGACAAAGCTGATATGTGCAATGGAGTTTCAGGTCTGGAAGAAAGAGATGCTCTGTGCAGAATTTGGGGATCATTTCGGATCAACATGGTCAAGGTGGGGAGAGAACCGCTCAAGGCCGCTTCATAGAGCTGAAGCAACTTATTGTCATTACACCTTTCTACTTCTTGGCCAAAACTAGGAGGGTTCTGTTCATGGGGTCTCATCTCGGTAACTCTCTCTCTCTCTCTCTCTCTCTGTGTCCCTCGATCTTTGTTATGTTTAAGTTTGATTATTTTCACCAAGCAAGTTCTTCTATTTTGTATTCTAATCCAACTCTTCAACAAGCATCGTCCATTTACATTGTTCAAAGGACGCGTACAGAGACTTTTCCGTTGAATTTGTCCATTGCTTGATTTTTTTTTTTTTTTATATATTTAAGATTATTAAGATTTGAATCTTGAATTAAAAGGTCAATAATTTTTTAATAGATTGCTTGATTGGTCATCATAACTTGACTTTTTTACATACAATACATACAGCAAATATTACTTTGATTTGGTGTAGTGCAATATATATATATTGTTTAATATGTTAGCTTAACGTAAACATTAATGTCAATATTATCCAACAATAAATATATACTTACAATTTCAATAAAGACTGAATAGTAGAAGGATATCAAAGCAGTTCCAGCTTCACATAGATGATTTTCATTGCAAGTACCTTCTGTTATTTGATTGCCAAATCGCAAAAGAGTTGTTTGCAGATTGCAAGGGACAAGTAGCGGGTTATTATTCTGTTTGCTACATTTATCACAAATCCTGTTTTTGTTTTGGCTTTTTTCTTTTTTTTTTTTGTATTTCGGAACTTAAAAACGCTTGTTTGTCAATTTGCTCAATTTGGAGACATTTGAAGTGTGGGGACAAAGCTTTTAAGACAGTGATAATTTCGTAGAACCATATGGAAATGTCGTTTAATTTTATGTCAATTTCTGGGTCTACCTTATACTTTTTATGGTTTCTTTTCCACACGAGTATACATCTAACTATTCATTTACGCATACAACTGGTTGACTTGTTTGACCAGTTTTATTTTTCTAATTTTAATATAAATTACACTTATTCAAATATCGACTTATCCGTTCAAACTCAATTCGAAGTGTGGGGGCAAAGCTTTTAAGACATTGATAATTTCCTACAACCATCTGGAAAAGTTTAAAGTCTCGGTTTCCACTTTACGTATAATATGATTTGACGGGGAACCCACTTTCGTCGATATTACGTACGTCTCATGTTCTTACAATAATCCTCCCCTCCAACCCAGTCTTTATGGGGATAATATTAGGTACTTCCCCATTTAGGGAATGCAGATTTTTAATTGTCCGCATCATAATTCAGAAGTCGTTTAATTGATTTCAATTTGGTCCTGCATGTGCGATGATTCACTAAAATATTACTCGCTCCGAATACAGTCATCACCAGATAGTTTTTTGACACTTTGTTGAAACAATACCAGAAATAAAAACAAAATAATAACTAAACTTGATAATTATATTTAAATTTGAAAACAATAAAAAAATATTTTGTTTGATATATCAGCACAAATTATAATATAATAATTTTTATATTATATATATATTAAATACAAAAATAAAAAGATACAATTACACGAATTATCATCTCTATAAAATACATGAATTAAAATCGTCACATGATAATTTTTTATGTTTTAAAATTATTTTTTAAATGTGAGAGAAATAAAATTTTTATATCAAATTTTAATAGATGACAACATATAAATGAGTATAAGTGTATTTTTTTAATATAAATTATAACTTAATTATATATAAAAGTAATTTTTTATTAAATTAATATATTAAATAATCTCTATTAGTGTAATAAATATATAAAAATAAATTAAATAAATTATAAAATATAATCTTTTAATATATTAAGAGAAGAGGTGGGGCAAAGAACTTCAAACTCAACCTCGACTTGACCCAAATTATTGAAAGAGGTAAAATTTAGCTCAATTCTTATTTTAAAAAAGAAACCACATTGATTGGATCGTAACAAATCAAAACTTAATTATTAAATATAAGTTGCTTTATCATCTCTATATCCATCAATTTTTTCTTTACAAAATTTATGTAATAAATAAAACTTTAAAAAATAAAGAAAATGACAAAAAAGCCAAATGAGATGGCATGTGAATTTATTAAATGAAGATATTCAATAATATTTTTAGTAATATAAATATATATAATTAAATTAATATAAAATCGCTAGGTAATTCAATTCTTACATATAAACCAAGAAATTAATATAAAAATATATACACTTAATTTTGTTTGAACATATTTAAGCATTTGTAATGCTTTAAAAATCAAAGCTCTGTCTTTTCCAAGATTCTCTTAAGCTTAAAGAAAGTTACATAAAATTTGAATAAGTAGATTCTTAGGTTAATGTAAGAAAAGTAGCAAAAATCAAAGAAAAAGTCAAAAGTCAACTTAATAGCCAACTTAGTTAAACTTACTCGAATTTGACTAAATTTGATCAATACCGAGTCAAATCCAAGTTGTCTTAGGAAAATCAAAGTTCTTGGATTTTTGAAGATTTTAAAATAAATTTTGAGTTTTGAGCAAAATGTGCATTTTGACCAAAATACACCTAATATGAGATGGGTCAAAGTTTGACAAAATTTATCAAAGTTGATCAACTTTGTCAAACTCTAATACTTAGAAAGAAAACTTGGAAAAATGAAATGTAAGCTAAAATGACCAAAACACCCTTTAATCAAACTTTGTCAAATTTGATCAAATTCTGCCAAACTTAGGTCAACCTTGGAATTTGTAATTGACTAGGAGTATTAAGGCTTAATGTTAATAAAATTGTGATTTGGACCCTTAAAAATCATATTGGATCTCAAAAAAATGGAGGAAGTACAAAAATACCACTTAAGGTTATTTTTATAATTTAGCCTTTTAGAGGAAGGTTTCTTTGGAAAAAAAAACTCCAAATCATGACTAGATATTATTTTATGAATTTTGGTTCAATAAAATCATAAAAATCATCATTAAATCATGAAATTAAGAGAAAAACATAAAAAAGTCTTTTAATGCAAAATGGTCTTTTTAAATTTTATGGTTGGGACAGTTGCACTAATAGCCAAATTGTATGTTCTAATTTTTAAGAGCCATTAGATTTGAAGGCATAATGATCCTATGACGTGCAATGATATGCATGGAAACCAAGTTTAGTAGAAAAAGAAAAAAAATTACTTTTCTTAAATAATGTTTAATCCAATGGCCATCATGGGGAGAAAATGTCTTCTAATAGACATTTTTAGGGTTGTGATGAGGGGGTAGCAAAGAAGGATTAGTATAGACACCCAATTTGGTTCAGGCCCGGATCAATTAGGCCTGATCCAAATGGGTAAGCCCATTTGCATTTTTAATTTTAATTTTAATTTTAATTAATTAATTTATTATTACTATTATTATTTATTAATATATAATTTTTTTATTATTTATCAACATATTTTATTATCTATTAATATATATTTTTTATTATTATTTATCTATTCATATATTATTATTTATCTATTAATATATATTTTTTATTTTTATCTTTTTCTTGATTGATTTTCGACTGAGATTAAGATAAAAAAAATTAGAATTCTATCGTGAATTTTGGATATAATCAAAGTCCAGATTGGATTCAAGGATTGAATCCCAATCCAAGATGGAATTGGGATTGATCAGAAACTTCTCTGATCAATCCTTATAAATAGATCCATAAATCATAAAGAATCGACACAGAAACACAGAGAGAGAGAGGGAGCAAAAGGAGAAGGAAAAATGGGTGTTCATAATGGTAGAAGCAATTTTATGAGTTTTTTAAAAATTTTAGAGAATTTTAGGAGAATTTTATATGAAAATTTTTGGAAAATTTCCAGATTCCGCTGAACTTTTTGGCGAAGGTTGAATTTTTCGGTGACTTTTTCGGCACCGATTGAATTTTTTGACCAACTACCCAGTTTTCAATGTACTATTTTTAGAAACCGAACAACTTTTCGATGAAAAACCCAGATTTCAGCGATATTTTCCAGAATTCGATGAGATTCAACCAAAGTATTTTTGGTTTTTTTAGAGAGAAGGAGGAGAAAAATGGGGAGAGGAAAGAGAAGAAAAGAAGCATTCTGTAAAAAAAAAAAAAAAAAAGAGGTTAGAACATTTTATACTTGCTGAAAATGACGTCGTTTTGGCGTTACTATTCCCAGAGGATCCGTACGTTTTAAAATCGAGTGACCCAACCCGAGTGCCAACCCACGTTGACCGAAGCGCTAGTCGACCCTTGGAGCCGAGCCGAGCCAAGATCCCCGAGCCGCGTCTCCGAACTGTCTTTTCTGTCTTGAGCCGAGTTGTTTCTCAATCGAGCCGAGCTGTTCATAAGGTTTTTTTTTTCTTCTTTTTTTATATTTATATATTTATTAATTATTATTATTATTATTTATTTATTAGATTAGAATTATTTAGAGATTTCTTATTTTATTTTTTTTATTTTCATTTTTATTTTATTTTTTTAAATGATTTTCTTTAAATAAAATTTCAAAAAAATATTTTTAAGGAAAAGTTGAAAGTATCAATTTTCCTTGAAAATAAGTTTTTCTAAAAAATATTTTTAAGGAAAAGTTGAAAATATCAATTTTCCTTTAAAATAAGTTTTCTAAAAAATATTTTTGAGTATAAATTTTTCTTGAAAATAAGTTTTCAAAAAAAATGTTTTTGAGAAAAAGTTAAAAGTATCAATTTTCCTTGTACAAAAGCAATGAGTTTTTGAAAGGATTTATATATAAAGCTGAATCATTTTTTTTCATTTTATTTCTTTTTTTTTTTTTCTTGAATTTTTTTTAATGTTCAAATAATCCGACGATAGAGCTTCTGCAAGTTCCTTGCATACTCTTAAGATAAGAAAATTTTCTTAATTTTCTGCTGAAAGTATAAGAGTCAATTAAAAATAATTTTTAATAATTAATTACTTGAAAAATTTTTAAAACTTATTGGATAACACAAAATTAAGCTGGTAACATCTTTCGATGGGCGTTGTGAGGGTGCTACAACTTTTTTTACACGTAATCGTACTTCTGAACTATGTTCTGGTTAATAAACCTGAACCTATTCTTTTAGGAATCCTTAAGCTTAGGTGTTCCTCAAAAAGATAGATTTCTTAAGTGACTAATC